TCGGGGCAGAACAGTAGGACGTTAAACCCCATTTCATTCATTAATTCTTTTATAGCTCGATCACTGAACTTCTTTTTCAAATCTACAATTAACAGCTGTTCAGGCCAAATATTACCAGTAACACTTGATTTTGTTTTAAAGAAGTGAAATCAATGGGTTGTAAAATCTAAAATCACAACCAATTCCTATGATATCAGTCAGAATTTAGGAAGATAACGCGGTAAGATTAAGGAAATATGTTTTGTTTTATTTTAGATGACCACAATCGTGTTATACTCAGTGAAGTTGGAAATGATCCACATTCTAATTATATTAACGCCAGTTACGTAGATGTAAGTTTTTTACAACTTGTTATATTAATGTCAGCTACGTAGATGTAAGTCACCATCCCCCTCTCGTTACATCCATACTACCCTATACCAAGTATACCATCTGAAGTCGACATTGTCACTCAAATTAGTAGTGAAACCGATGGTTTACAAACATCTGTAGTTTTCGTATACATTCGGAGAAGTAGACAACAAAGCCATCGCTATGTCCGACCAGTCCCTGTAAGAAAGAGAGTCTTCATCCATTTACTTTTATCGAACAGCCACGCACCACCTAAAATAATGCCTTGTGTATTTCAGAGTTACAGGCAAAGCCAATTTTTCATAGCAGCACAAGGTATGTAATTCCTTCATTTTCATTGCACTCTGTTGTCGTAGGAACGATAAATTAAAGTGGTACACCCTTTTGATCCGGGTTACTTATTTTTGATATGAATATATGTCATCATTTAAAAATTTGTAGACAACCCGTCTGCCGTTTATTCTCGTGTAATATTGCTATACACAAGGTGTGAAATAATTATATTATAGACGAGTTTTCGCTGTGTTGATTGGGAACTACCGCATTCCGACAATTCAACAAATCTGTCCAAACAAAAATTACATCATATAAAGTTTATTCAATAACTTTTAATAATTGCATAATACACTGGATCAACACACTTTTATAGCTTATAGTTCACCTAAATCAAGGAGGTTAGCGCCTTTTACGTCTTCATTTGCGTGAATCATTAAGAATGACGTCATATTTAAATGTCGTGTCTCTGTACCCAGCATTTTGTACTTGTGTAGTAGTCGACAGTCACACCGAATGATAACCAGATCAAGTACCCTTCATAAATGAAAATTAAATCGCTTAGAGATTTCGGACACCGAACAGAAAAATTATTTTGACCCAAACCAAAGAAGTTATATTATTTTTAAAGAAATACATTTCATGTGTTATTTTCTATAAATCCAGGTCCGACTAAAGTAACGATAAACGACTTTATCAGGATGATTTTTGAAGAGAAAGTTGTCAAGGTTGTTATGTTAACAAATTTGGTTGAATCCAGGGAGGTAAGTTCTGTAAAGGCACATATTTCTCTAGTCAAAATTATGTAAAAAAAAAACCCCGTAGTTTTCATTAAGCAAGTTTTTTAACTGTATATTTGACATTTTTTCTGGTATGCAGTGGCTTTCATTAGGTATCTAATATTAACAGACTGCCAAGATAATAAAGCATATATGCACATACAAACCGTAATATTTGGGAATTGCAGGCAGTGCTTAAACTGTGTACATATTACTCAGAAATTTTATAATGTATACATTCATTACAACATAGGAATTTATTTCAAAATGTAAAGAAAAGCAGTCTCAATAAATATGCATTATGTAAGAGCTAAATTGGAGAATATATTGTGGATATCCAATCAAATTAGAAAAAAGGGTGGGTACTAAACCAAATTGGAAAAAAGATTGGTATTAAACCACATTAATAAATAGGTAGGCACTGAACCAAATTAGGAAATATGTGGATATTAAACTAAACTATGAAATAGGTGGATATTATCAAATTAGGAAATAGGTTAGTATTAAACTAAATAAGAAAATAGGTGGATATTAAACCATATTGGAAAATAGATTAGTATTGAACCAAATTGGAAAACATCTGAATATTAAACCAAATAAGAAAATGTGTGGGTATTAAACTGGATTATGAAATAGGTGGGTATTACATAAATATTCAACCAAATTAGGAAATGGGAAAAATTTGAAAAATATTTGGGAAAAGGTCTGAGAAGCTAACGAAGCTTAAAATATCCCGCATGGCCTAAATGGTTTAACATATGCCCCCTGGTTTTAGAATCTACATTAAAGATCGTAAATTGTCATAATTTGATTTCAGATTAAGTGTGAAAGGTATTGGCCGGAGACTGGAAGAGAAGTGTTCGGTAACCTAGAACTTATTCTAGATGAAGAAATTCAACGAGCAAGCTATACAACTAGAAAGATCAGCCTAAAGCATTTGAAGGTGATCATAATTTGTTTCAGTCAATAATGTATTTCAATTCAAAGGGAGTATCTCCTGTATTTAAGGATATCGAATGTTGAATTTTGCTTCAGCTCATTTTGTACACATCCCTTGGCTGTTGGAATTTGAAGTCGCGTTGACTGAAACGTCACTGAAACGTCACATAATTCTCCCATTCTCGTACTACATGGAGGCATAAAATTAGACCTTTTCGCATATCAAAATGACCAGACTTTAAAACACACACATTTTTCATCATTAAACTTTGTCGTTTATTAAATTTTTTAATTTTTTTGATATTTTATATTTTCAGTCCGGCAAAGAGCACCAGACCCTTTTGTTTCATTTTACAGCTTGGGCTGACCATGACGTACCGGAAGTTGCAGATTTATTAGATTTTCTATATTGTGTTCAAGATTATAAAGCCGATTCAAACTCGCCTACTCTAGTTCACTGCAGGTGAGAACAAACGTGCCATTTTAATGCATTTGGTTTTAGATCAAAATGTAAAACACTGGAACACCTGATACTACCTATCTATTCTGTGAGCACAAGGACTGTGAGTTGTCCTATTACAAGCTTTCGCTGTTAATAGATATAGACAGTCTGTTGTAATACAAGCTTTATTTTGGCAACGGACACTACCTAGTCGTTTGGATGGGACGAAACCCGGAGGTCCCTATACACTGTTAGAAATTTTTGTAAAATTACAGTAGTACAAGCAGTTTTTGTACATTAATTATCGGTATGTTCACCACAATGTAGTAGTTCTACCAAGTCTGGCGTATTTTAACGGAGTTTCGTGTATGTTTACAGAGTTTCGTGTCTTTTTTTTACAATACACGGTGATGAAATCAAAGACACATTCAAAATCAGTAAAAATACATTCTTACATATGTAATATTTCCAAACTGAACTCAAAATAAACAAGCATGCATGTAATTTTACAGATCTTACGTTTATTCACATTATTTTGTAAATTTACTTTTAGGTTAGAAATATAAATAAAATTACAGCAGTTCTCACTATAATAGTTAAAAACTAGATAATGTAATGGGAATATGCTGAAAATTTCTGTCAAATTGATCCTCTCGGAACCGAGATATTAGAGACTGGATGTTAGGCCTAGCCTCGATCATCATTACTTATTAAGTCAGTACGATAAAAAAACCATAGTCTTGATTATCTATTTTTGAATTTAATCATTAATGAGCGTTGAGCCCCAGATCGGACTCAAATCCAGTGAAAATCCAACACATAAGATGGCATCCATGAGTTGATTATGGTCTTTTCATGTTAATAAATGTCTAATTCATAGTTTATAGAACATATCAGGCCTAAAGAAAGACCTGCAATAGGCAGATTTAGCTCTTGCATAATGTATGTTTAACTTATTGGTAGTTATCGTATTCGGTAAATTTATTGTCTCTTAGCATGCAATTTTAGAGATTTTACGTTTACTCACATTATTTTGTAAACTTTCAGGTTAGAAATATAAGTAAATTTACAGCAATTAAATTTTTACCAAAAATGTTCGGAATGTTTACCAAAATGATGTATATTTACCAAGTTTCATTCTTTTTTACAATAAACTTTGATGAAACCAAAGGCACATTAAACCCCGGTAAAAATACATGCGTAATATTTCAATATTGAAATGAAAATAGCAAAGCCAGTAGGTAATTTTACAGATTTACGTTTATTCACATTATTTTGTAAATTTACTTATTGGTAAATTTACTGTCTCTTATGTAAATTTACTGTCTCTTATTTTATTTTAGTATTCCATAGCAACGAACCATTCCTAATAATTATTGTCTTATAGTATTCATTCTAATTTATTAACCATAATATGGACAATCACATTTTGTGCAATTTGGTATATTGCATGTTATATATATTTAATTTTCTTTATTTATACGATCCAAAACGTGTATTATTATTCATCGTACGTTGATCAGATTGTAAGTATGTTCATTAACGTATAAAAAAATGTTTTGCTTACTTATCATAGATTGTATTATCTCGTAACCAAGGTCAATTGAAGACGGTTAATTAAACCGATTGGCCAGTGTTAGCTTGACTGTCTCTAGAGGAGAGTTACAATGCCTGCAGTAGACAGTACCACAAGCTTACATCTAAAATCCTGGAACGGAAGTTAAAATCATTGTGTTTTATTTTAACATTTGTCTGTAATTTTTCATTTACTGCTTTTAGGTAAATTTACAGTTCAAAGTTAAAAAACAAACTCATGTTATTTTCCATTTACTGTTTTAAGGTAAATTTACTCACAAAGTCAAATTACAGAAACTCTGTAATATTACAGCTGAATGTTTATTTACAGTAAATTTACTGGCAACTTTTGCTGCCAGTAATTTTCATGTAAATTTACCAGATTTTTTCTAACAGTGTATAGGCGTTCAAGGAAATGAACTCTTGGCGAAAACGTCGTTCTTGTTTCGTTAGTTGGTTACGTTTTCATACCAATGCTGGTGTTAATTTACTTTACATAAGTAATATCATTTTATATTATATAGTGCTGGAATAGGAAGAACTGGTACATTTGTAGCTATAGATGCTCTTCTGAAGGAAGGAAATGCTACAGGAAGTATTGACGTTCTACAGTTTATTAAAACTATGAGATGTCAACGAAATGGCATGATACAAACAGCCGTATGTATATATCTATATCTAGCGTTAATATGACCAATCGGAAAGCGATAATCATCTGATTCAGATAAATTGGAAACTAGAACATCCTCACATAAACTATATTTGGTGTAGGCTAATAGCTCCGGATCTATTAACAATTTGATATATTTCCTAATGTGTCAATACTATAGCAGGCTAATGGTCAATTTCCGATTTAAATTTAACGAAAATAAGGTCTGAAAAGTATTCTTTAGATAGTAATGTAAATGAATAAACAGAGGTTCGATGCCATCTTGACCTCGATGTTCATGGATACATGATATCGGATAATCGATAGAACTTAAATATTGATCGATTTTAATCATTTTATGCGTCAAGTTTTAATGAGTAAGGATTGACCCCCCCCCCCCGCTCTCTCTCTCTCTCTCTCTCTCTCTCTCTCTGAAACTGTATCATTGCCCTTTGATGATAGGCCTACATCTTACTCTATCTCCCTCGCACTCTGAAACTGTAAAATTGCCTTTTAATGTCACATCTCTCTCTATCTTCCTCACGCCCTCTTATCTCTCATTTGTAATTTTCATGTTTTGTTTTAGAATCAACTTAAGTTTGTCTATGAAGCTTTGGTTGAAGCATTTAAATATGGAAAGACTAGTACATCTGTATTAGAGTACGAGATGATATCTGGAAAATCTAAGAAATTCCATTTGACAAAATGTTTTAGAAACAAAGAACTGCAGTTGCTAAAAGGAATGATAAACGAAGGTGATTTAGATAATTTAATACGATAGTCATCGTCCACACATTAGCGTCCACGTAAAGGAAACCTTGATAGTTGGAATTTGTCGAAAAGTAGGCGGAAAAGCCGTTGGCCGGGAAAAAGTTTCAAAATTGCGTACGGCCGTCTTCAATATCCCGGTTGGTGCAATAAGGCACAGCGTTAAACCCAATTAATTTCTTTTGGTGAACATAAAAAATTGGGATTAATAGCGGAATTGACAAGCGGAATTTTCTCGATCCGTTTCACGTATCAGTGTCGCCACGATATGAATACGTGATACGTTGCGTCAATGTAGTTTTAGAGATCTGGCAGATTTTCGCGCCGGGTAGTATGAGTATAGCTGAGCTGAGCTTAGTTCTATTACAGCATGATGGCATTTATCTACCAAGATAACCACCAGTACTAGTCAAGTGTCTAGCCTACAAATTCCTGGAAGGAGAAAAGTCGCTTGATAGTCGCTGAGCTATTAAATAAAATTTAATGTCGAAATTTTGGTTACACTAATGTATCATTCCAAAGAGGTAATTTATACCCTTTACCATAGAATCACATGATTTACATACTTGCAAGGTCCCACCTCCCAAAATTTAGCACGTAGATCGACCACCATGCAGACAGACAGGCAGAAATAAAATATGAAAATTCGGAGAAAAACTCATCAAAACTAATGATCAAATTCCAGTCTTTGACGACGATGTTATACGGACTTTTTCCGTATGAAAGCTGTTCGATACGTGTTGCCGTATCCGTGTGCCGTATCACGTATGAGAAATACACACACATTGATGACGTTACACTCAAAATCGATACGGATACGCGATATGGACCAGGAATTAATACTTGTCCAAAATTTTCTAATGTCCACACGGAATAAACGTCAAACCATTAATTGGATCAAGTTATCGGGTGGGTCTAATTTCTTACTTTATTTTAAGGTAATCAAAATCTTGTGAATAACCTACAGGTCAAAATTATGTACCGGTTGTTTTCAAATTTGATTTGAGTATTGACTATTGAGTGTTCATTGGGTCAAAAGGAAGACGCCTATTTTTTTATCGCACATTTACGCCCAACGCTCGTTTTGTTTCTTGTTTTGTTTGCAGCAGATAAGAATAAGATATATCTACCTGAGAAACCACAGTTGGATATTCACAGAGCTTCAGTAAGTATTTTAAATGTGATTTATCAGACGGCTATAACACTTAAAGGGCGTATGGTTCTATTCTTTGGAACCTTAAAAAAATCGAAAATGGGCCTAAAGGCACATATTAATGTGAAATACGCGAAGAGTCCAAATCGAACAACAGTCGTTTACGCCTGTTTAGTCCATTCTACACGTTTTTTATTATTATTTTGTCATTTATAAATCAGCCATTATACTACTTACTTCCGCATTAACTGTAGAATATGTTTTTCCATTGTGCATTACAAATGGCACTCGAAACCATAGAATACACGATTCGTGCACTGATTATGAAATGTTCATTGTGTCTTAAATATTGGGTATTGGGATTCCATATTTTTATTGCAAGATAACAACATCAATATTGATTGTATTAGACCAATGTTGGATTCTAATTCGTATTTTTTAAATTTCAAACATTGTGGATATTATTTATATGTTCAGTACATTAACCAATAATAGGTATTCTTACTATACTTACACCATATTACCCATATATGTCCGGATAAATTTCAAGACATTAAATCATATTATTACTTTATTAGTCATGGAAGAAAAGTATTGGTTATATCATTATTACTTTACTAGACATGGAAGAAAAGTAGTGATTATGCTATCTGTTATATTGAATCATGTCTCTACTACTTTACTAATCTTGGAAGAAAAGTGGTTAATGTTATATTATTACTTTACTAGTCATGGAAGAAAAGTAGGAGTTATTCTATCAGTTATCTAGTCACAGAAAAAAGTATTGTTTGTGCTATCAGTACTATTAAGTTATATTTATCGCACAGCTTTCAGGTTTCAGGTTTAAACATCGAGACCGTAGGCTGAGATGATAAACCTGTTAACGATTAAAGCGTGCTATAAATGACTTGTAACATTGACACAAGCTCAACATACTTGTTGTTATTGCACAGAAAACCCACCCCACGTCTCTATATGATTTCTACTAAAACTGGCGTAAAGCAGCAAAAGAGTGCAATAACATTAAACATGTCTAGTCATTGCGCGGTTAAGCTCCACCCAATCCACTAAAGGGGAAACAATCTGCTTATTCAATAAAAAGAACAAAGGAAAATTTCCCGTCCATGTTACAATTCATATTATTACGCTACTAGTCATGGAAGAAATGAATATATAATCAATGATATTAATGATATTACTTTACAAACCATGAAAGAAAAGTGGTGATTATTTTTCAGTAATATTAAATCATGTATTTACTTTAATAGTCATGGAAGAAAAGTATTGGTTATGTTATCAGTGATATTAAAGGGCATGACATGGAATCATTGTGGAATTTAATCAGAGATCAGGAAAGTTCTGTAGCTGTGGTAATATTGAATGACCAAGTAATAGCATATTAAAATATACCCAAGGGGGGATTTTAAAGGAAACTCCTTAATTAGATTTGTTTGAAATGCTTTCTCGATTTAATTTAATTATATTTAAACAATGTAAAATGATTGTTCTACCGAAACTAAACAAAACTAAGACGTGACTGGGGTTTTTTATTGTTTCGATTTCAAGGCTATGGACTTCAGTTCTAAAGAATTTCTCTGTAAAAAGATTCCGTTCTTGAAAGCAAAGTTACTAGCTAAGAAATAATTCTTCCTAAACTAAACACAACCAAGTCATGACTACATTTTGGTTTGTTTTTAATTTCGATTTCAAGGCCATGAGCCTCAGTTCTGGAGATATTCTCTGTTAATAGATTTGACTCTTGAAAGCTAAGGTCATTGATTGTTATGTGTAATACATATAGTTATTTTATTTCAGAATCAGGTGTCAGTTTATCCCAGTTCTGGCACTAACGAAAATATTGGCAAAATGACTATTTCGTCAGAAGTAGACTATTTATCAACAGATGGATTACAAATACTGACTGTTACTAGCTATAAACAGGTAAATAATATTAATAATTACATGCTGTTTAAATACTGACTGTTACTACTTAAACAATGGTGATTGCATACAAAACATCATTAATGATTATTGTTCAATAGTGATTACATGGTAGATAGACATTGTTGTTGCGTATCGTATCACAGTGATTACATGATAGACATTATTACTGATTACTATATCAAAGTGATTACATGAAAGACATTATTACTGATTACTGTATCAAAGGGATTACGTGGTAGATACTATCACTGTACCAAGGTAGACATGGCCACTGATTATCCTACCACAGCGATTACATGGTAGACAATATTGCTGATTACTGTACCGCAGTTATTGCATGATAGATACTATTACTGCACCATAGTGATTTTTGTATATATTATATTTTAAAAGAACATACAACATGTGTGTAAGATGATAATACTGAAAACTGGAAGAGGGTATGGATTAGAATCACTGAAATCAGATATTACAGAACTGATACGACTGACTGATCAATATGATTCCACACCTCATCCAGTCACAGTTATTTACAGGTTTGTACTACAAAACACTTTCTAAGTAAATACCGAAACAACAACACACAAAAGGATGTCAACAATCACAGGATGAAGCCATGTTGATTTCGGCTCATGTCGTCATAATGTTCCGGTTCGATGGTTTTCTCGAAATTATTTTGCAGAAATGATTTTGGGTAAATGTTTTGCAAGATTGGTATTTGGAGATTTGTATTTGGAAATTTGATTTTCGTGATTGGTTTTTCGTTGTATGTCTCTGATGAAATGTAAATGTAGACTAATTTTTTGATTTCTAAAGTAAATTTTCTGATTTGTAAAACAAATATCGCTTTTATGATACAAAGTTTAATTTTGGTCTCCAAATGAAGGACTATAAATTAAGATCTAAGAACACTGAATAAAGAGCTGTTTGGCTTTCCATAGATGTATAGATAACTGTTCACTATCATATTATATAGTACAGTGATATTAAACAATATAATTACAATGTATATAGATAACCGTGGGCTATTATATTTTATATTACAGAGATATTATACTTGGTAGATAGATAACTGTTTACTATTATATTTTATATTACAGTGAAATGCAACATGCTGCTATATTTTGTATTGTAAGAAATATACTAGAAAGAATGAAACTTGATAAGGAAGTGGAGATTTTTAACACCACAAGAAAAATTCAACAATCATTGAATGATGTTATTAATCATAAGGTAAGAAATGTTAGTTTTTTTATTTTTATCCACCCCCCCCCCCCCACCTAATAACAAAATAAATCACTTTAAACCCCGTGTAATTGGAAACCGTGTAATGATTGTAAGTATTAGTAATAAGCCAGGCAAATGTTTCCAAATGGTATTATCTGTTATCATGTGCTTCAGTCTAATCTCGAAGATTTTCTGATAACGACCATAGAAATGTGTGCCCCATTGTAAGAAATTATTCACGACACTCAATATGTTCTTTATTTTCTTTATTTCAGGATGAATACGACTTTATCTATAAAATGACCAGTGAACTATTAACAAGACTGAATATTTATGAAAATCTGTAAAGTTCTTAGCTTTAAGATTCATTTATGTTGCTATACAGCATGTTTAGTTTATAGTTTGGAAGTCACATTAATTAGAGTTTTACACTATTGTTTTTTTTTCGGATTATTATTATTTTCTTTATACATTTTGCTTATATCTCTGGAAGTACCCATTAGATTTCGTAGTTCATGCGAAAGTTTCGAAACCTTTTGGGCCAGGCGAAATGCATGAATTCGTGTTTTTGTAAATGTTGTTCTAATTTGAACACAGCAGACCAGTATGGTTTGGGTTTTTTTTTACTTCGATTGGGTATACAACTTTCTATCCATAATTGTTGAAAAATGTTATATAGTTATATTTTTATATTTTGAACGTTTGTTAGTTGTTTTTGGATTTGTAATAATGTTATCTATAATTGATGAAAATAATATTTGCATACATCTATACATGTAATTGGTATCAATTGTTCTCCGCCTTTCGAAGAAAGTAGGGGACTTTTAAAATGGTTCTGTCCGTCTGTCTGTCTGTCTGTCTGTCACACTTTTTAAGGCACAATAAATTTCCTTCTAATTGAGCTACAATGTTCAAACTCGGGGTGGGTATTTCTTAGGTGGAATGCCTTGATTGTGTTCGAAGTTGAGCATTTTCTCTGCCGTTTGTGCTTTGGGACGCGATAACTTTGGTCCTGATTATGTGAGAGCGATGAAACTTGGTGTATAGTTTCATTACATCAATACCATGACCAGGTCCGATAATGAGCATTTTGGGCTCATGGTAAGCAGAGCCATGAGCAATTGGATTGGTCGAGACTTTGGACCTCGACAACTTTGATTCTAATGGAGTGGTAGTAGTGAAACTTTGTGTATATTTTCATTACATCAGTACCATAACAAACTTCGATGCTGAGCATTTCTCCTAAGGCAAAGTAGAGACTTCGATCTGATTGAGGTAGAATGTTTGAACTTGGTGTATGTGTCTGTTAGGTGAATGCCTTGACACAGTACGATCATGCGCACTAAGGGTAAGCAGAGATGTTCAATTTGATACCTTGGAGCACGATAACTTTGGTTCTAACTGAACACCTTGGCTAAGTTCGATGAACAGATTTTTTTTTGCTTACGCCAAGTAACGATAAGCAATTTTGATTGGTGTGGACTTTGGAACGCAACATCTGCTTTTAATTGAGATAGAATGTTTAAAGGAGCTAATTCTCTAACCTAAAATTTTCCATAATATTCGAAATTATAATCACGAATTAGAATTCAGTATTGATCAAGTTCAATCAATATTGATGTTGTTATCTTGCCGTGAAACTATAGCATCCTAATATCCAACATTTAAAACACAATTAATGAAAAGATATAAAAATAAAGTCATACTGTTTTGCTCCGAACTGGGCTAATGAAGTCGAGCATACGTCATACAGTCTGCTAGGATGGAAATTTTGCCCAGACAGCGGCAATACGGCCTACTCTTATATCGAATTCCAACTGTCAAGGGATATTTTACGTGCACGCCAATGTGTTCACGGGACCTCGGTTTTTCGTTCCACCCGAGCGACTAGACAGCTGTCCTTCATCACTGACATCGGGGAATCACGTCGGAAAATATTGCGAGCCAGCGTCTTACCCACTTAGCCACAGTGACCCCATACAACAAGACAGTGTGGAACTAATTAGTAAAGGCTGATTCACAAACGACAAAATAATAATTTTAAAAACGTGTAGAATGGACTAAGCAGGCGTAAACGAATGCCGTTCAATTTGAACTGTTCCCGTATATCACCGAACATATTTTATTAATTAGAAATTACAGTATTAATTCAAAAATTGAATATGTGCTTTTAAAACCATTTTCATCTATTTCAAAGTTCCAAAAAAAAGAGCCACATGCCCTTTAAACTGGATGTAGATGTTCATTAGCTAAGCAATTTTATTGGCCGAGGCTTTGGGACAAGTAACTTTGATTCTAACTGATAGGGAGTAATAAAACTTAATAGTGTATAGTTTCACTATAGTTTCACTTCAAAACCTTGACCGAGTTTGATCGTGAAAATTTATGCTTAGACTAAGTATAAATAATCAGTTTGATTTCTCTATAATTTTGAAAAAGATAAATGTGCAATTAATTAATATGTGTCGTCTATTGATTTTGGGATTCGGCAGGGAACATCAGCCTCATTGTTTTATTTATTGCTTAGTTTTAAAAATCAAACTTAATATTGCTTCAATTTGTTCTTCTTTTATTATTTAATCATTTATTTGTCTTTTTTAGATTATTTTTTTTTTTCATAATTTATTTAATATTTTTATTCAAAAAAGGGTCTCTTTATAATTGATTGGAAGTCGAAAAATTTAAGTTTAAAATGTACAACAAGTTAATAATTCCTGGCAAGACAGCAGCAGAGTTGAATACCATGAATGAGAATGACAAATAATTTTAAATAAGTATAAATTGTCACGATTATCCTGATTTTTTGCAATCTTGAAAAATAAAAGCCTAAGACCTCATATGCCAAATTTAATTTAAAATCATGGTAATAGCAAATTCCATGGACTCCGGCCCATATAATTATTGAATTTCGAAAGAGAGTAGCCATGTCCTAATGAGAATTGTGGGCGTTACAGTGTCCCCGGGCTCTAAATGCCAAAGGTAAGCAGGAAAAGGCTTGGCTACATGTAATTTTAAATATTGATGGCATCATATTTTCAATACAGCTGCTCATAAAGACATTGTTGACTTAAAATCAATGAAAATTCTGTTTTACGGAATTCTTTTTAGGTTAAACTTTTAGGCAATGGATTGATTCAATGTTAGTACACTACCGTTATGTATATTGCAAAGTTACAGCTCCAATTTGCGTTTCGTTTAATATTATTAATTCGTTAATGATTTATACAGTCCTTTGTTGACTCAAAATCAATGAAAATTATGTTTTCTGGAATTATTTTAGGTTATCTTTTTCAATAAATTTAAAAAAATGGAATGGGGTCTATCGTTCTACTTTTCTGCACCGACTGGGCTAATGAAGACATACATACGCCATGTAGTGTGTTATGATGGACATTTTGGCCCGGCAGCGGTGCTACGGCCTACTCGTTTGTTCTGGGTCTTTATATCGCAGACACCTGTACAGCTTGCGCTGTTGAAAATGGCCGACAAGACGGTTGGTCGATTGTATTATTCAAGGGAGACAAGTCTAATTTCAACGCAATAATTTCTCTTGGTACAAGGAGCACAGGCCACCAATAAATTCTTACGTTTTACCCCCATCTCCCGCCATTTGGCATGGGGATTTGCCTTGACTGGTGTAGAAATCGAAGAGAAGGTTCTGAATTTACGTTTTCTGTCAGGTGTTGGAAAATTACCATGGTTTTGAGGCGGAAGGATAACAAAGTTAAGAGGTGGTCACGTTGAAAAGTAGGGCGAAAGTGGACGTGGACGTAAAACTCTAGAAACGAGCGAACGAACATATTGTTCCATCTGTAGTAGAAAGGGACGAGATTTAACATTAAAGTGATGGGGAAGTCACTTGTCTACTATGGCCAAATACTACAATACGATTGACTTTCTAACACCAAAATCTAATATTTTCTTTTTTTTTAAAAAAAAAGACCATCGAATCTCTAAGAAGTCTTATTTTTATCGCCTTGTTAGGTCTCCAGTTATATTCTTGGTCACAGCTCTGTGCATTGGTCTTCAAACCAAATAACTTTTCACTCAATCACGGGGTACCTTAATCCAATTCTGTATGTTCAGCATGGCGTTGTCTTGCAACATTTGCAAGTCAAGATGAAGCAAGTGCATGGTTTGTAACAATACAACCGATGACAAACAGTAGTTAACGTTGCGTCATGATCGTTTCTATTGAACTCATGACTGTTGACTGGTTTGCTCAATTTATATGGAGCCACAGTGGCTAGGTGGTTAAGACGCTGGCTCTCTAGCTTGGAGGTCGGGTGTTCGATCCCTGCATTGGTCTAGAAAGTTCATCTGGTCAGTGGTGCAGAACGGAGGGCCTGACAAGGACAGTTGTCTAGTCCTTCGGACTAGTTGGAATTCAATATAAGAGTAGACGATAGTGGGATATGCCCTTCTTCATTAGCCCAGTAGGACGTTAAACCCCATTTCATTTTTATTTCATTTCTCAATTTATATAAATTTAGACGTTTTTTTCTTGCCAGGCTCTCAGCTCTGCTAACTGGAATATCCCACATAACCCTTTCGGACCAAACTGGAATAGAACCATCAATGGGCCTCCCCGTAAGTGAGTTAGCGTCATACTCAGTGGGCTCCCGTGGCTAAGTCTCTGACATCATAGAAACATGGCGGTAATCTTTAAATGTTTCAGTGTCTGGAGGTTTGTGTTGTACGTCAACATTTGTTTGTATACTATAAAAAGGCTTTCATAATTTCCCAATTTTCTTCTTGCTGGCATTATTTAATAGACCAGGATTAGCTTACATTGGGACACTGGCTGAAAATGTCACTAGGGCCCTTGCGTCAACAGTGAAAAGTGGGCATGTTCTGGCGTCACACTCACAAACATGCAATTTGTATTTCATCACGATAAATAGAAAGCTTTATTTGGGACAAACAGTACACAACATAATAAATAACATCATAAAATTATGAATTAGGCACTGTGGTCCCTATTTATCGTACAAATATTTTATACTGATTTGGGGGCCCTTTGATATTCGTACTGGACTATCTTGAAGTACAATGTACATGTACACATATTTGTTGACCGAATCGCAAAAATGAGTCCAAAGACAAGAGAACACGTCTGTTATCCTTCTCTCATTTGCTCGATGGGTTGTGATATTGGCTCACTAATCAGTTCTTCGGGATCATCCAATCTGGTATTAAAAGGCGTTTAGTCGTTCGGGTGGGACGAAAAAAGAACCCTTGGCAGATGGAAATGTAATAAGGTTTAACCTCCAACATTTCTGCACCAACTGGGATTATGAAGATGTAGTGAAATATGTGGAGAATAATTGTGCCAGGACATCACCGTTTCCGCCTACTATGCATCGTATTAAAATCGTTAAGAGTTATTTTACGTGCATGCCAACGTGTGCCAGACCTACATTACTGACTGGGTTATTCCGAGACATCTTCTCAGCCAACATTTGAATCGAAACCAGGACCTCGGTTAGTGATTCATCGCGGCTTCCTTGGCAATTGGTGCAGAAGAGTTGGACCATAAACCTCACCCATTTCACCAAGCCCTGATAACTACGAATCACACTGGAAAATGTCTAGTAAGACTAGTAATGTAAACTTAATTGTCCTATGTAAATACAGCTATGTCGGAGATGTTTTTAAATTCATAGGCACTGCATGTTTCAACATCTTAGATTTGACCACAATTTGGCACTTGAAACTGCGTTAACAGAGAAAAACTGTGTGGTTTTCAACGAAAGTGTTAAAAAGTCTAATATTGCATCATGATTGCTGTTTTAAAATTAATATTGAATTTACCCCATCTTTTTACAGAATGCATTATGTTCATATGCTTTTAAATTTCTGTCTGAAATTCCGCAGTTTCCTGATGTATTATAGTGTTTGCAGAATGCGTCGCTGCTCATATGAAAATGCATGGATTTTCATAATCTTTGGCCAGGGCATTGCATATATGTTTGTTTATTAGATAACAACAGATTTGTTCAGACGGCAGCAACATGTGAGGTATATAGGACTAAGACTAGGAATTATTTTACCTTATTTCACGAATGTAGTGCGCGTTATAAATAGACAATTTTTTTCTCCCCTCTACCTGCATTTTTTGGTTGACGTTTTGGTCTAGAATTGTAGAAAAGGGATCAAATTTGCAATTTCATAGCAGATTCGGGTAATACTGGTAATCAATCTGATTAAAAGACAGATCTATATTTCGTTTCGTTTTTTTTATACTTTCGATGGCCTACACTACATGAAGTGTAGTAAAGACAAGTAAAACGAAATTTTGAACTATAAAAACGAAACGAAAGGATCTGTGTTTTAACCAGATTGTGCTGGTGATATTAGAGTGGAGGGATCGGCGTGTAGAGTGTCTTTCTGCAGAGCAATCATTGTGTCGGAAGTGAGATTTTGACCCCAGTCAACATCAAATCTCCGTAAACGGTCAGTCCCCTACAAAATTATCTTGAGGGGGTTGCCAAATGCTGACCCCTGTACCTATAAAGATTGGAATCAATGGAATGTTGAGCAAAAAGTTACAGCCTGTGATGCTACAGTCATTTAACATTGAAGTCAATGGGCAAATGGACACAGATCACCAAATATTCCTGGGCCAAACAAGGGCCAAAGTTATTTTTAGTCTCTCTCCCCCTTTTGCATGGCGATTTTTGTTGACTTTTTGGTGTAGAATAAAAAATAAAGGGTTTGAAAATACATTTTCTGCCAGGTTTTGGTGAATAGTCATGATTTTGAGGCGGAAGGATACAAGAGTTATGAGGTTGGTTACGTTGAAATGTAGGGCCGGAAATTGCATGTTTGTTATCTCTACTTCCAGCTTGTGTATCTCAAGTTTTTCATGGTGAACCTCATACATGCTTTTGGGCAAGAGTTTGCCACATGTTGCTCCATCTGTGGCAGAAAGCGTTCTACCCAACGAAAATTTGGGAAAAAGTTAGAGCCGGTCTAAGAGACGAGAATTAACATTAAAGTCAATGGGGGAATAATTAGTGATCTGTGGCCAAATAATTGCTAGTCTAAAAAGAGTTATTTCCCCTTGACTAGAACTGAATTTGACACGAAGATTAAAATTTTAATTGGGTAAATTAACGTCAGTCATTAGTTTAGTAATAATACCAGTTGTCCACGTGTTATATGCCCGTCATAGTCCCAACATGACGTATATCATTTGGTGCAGTTCGCTTTGTTTCTCAGATCCGGACGATTACATATACTTGGGAACAAGTCTTGAGGATCCCCATGATCTTCTCGGTGAGGATTCAAGCCAGGAGAATTTCTGGTTGCGCGATCGGTGGCCAAACTCAACCAATTGGAGAGAGAGAGAAATGGGGTTTAACGTCCACTCGACACAAACTAGGTCATTTCGGGACTAACATATGGTTTAACTTTATTTCAATAATTCTCTTGCGCGTAGGGGTCTTTAGCAGTGGAAGGAAACCGGAGGACCCGGGGGAAAACCCACGAGGTTGGATCAACCAATTGAACATTTTACATGTGCGGCATAACATGTGTGTATGCGCGAAAGCCACGGTGGCTAAGTTGGTAAGACGCTGGATCGCTAGCCTGGAGGTCGCGTGTTTGATTCCTGCATCGGGATTTTCCGACGTGTTTTACCCTAGTCGTTCGGATTGGACGAAAACCGAGGCCCCGTATATACATTGGAGTGCACGTAAAAGATCCCTTGGCAGTCGGAATTCGATATAAGAGTAGACCACAGTGCCGCAGCCCGGGCAAAATCTCCCTCATAGACCACTGTATGGCGTATGCCCGTCTTCATTGGCCCAGTCGGAGCAGAACAGTAGGACGTTAAACTCCATTTCATTTCATTTCATTTTATGTTTGTATGCACCTTGGTATTGCTCTTGTGTATAGTGGATGTTTATGTGACGGGCTAAAAAGTGAAGCAATCGAACGACTAGACAGACTTCTTGGAATTTATCTGTAGTTGTGAAAGTGTTTCTTGATTAAATTTGTTGCTTGGTTTCATTTCCAACAATAAATAATCAATATTAAAATACAATTTATTTCTTTAATGCCTAATATACAAGTAAAAACTTTAAAAGAGAAAAATACAAACTTTATAAAAGAAAAATACAAACTTTATAAAAAAACAAATAGAAACTTTAAAAAAGACAAAAAAAAACCCTAAAAAAAAAATACAAATAAAAAAAAACAAATATAAATTTATTTCTATCAATACCAAACGCACGTTTAGATAAAAACAAAAGCAAGCGGTATATACTATGACAGTATTAAAATCACACAAATGCCCACCGGTGATGAAGATCTATCAATAGATCATATTTTCTCAAACAGATATTTACAGTTTTCATACCCCTGTAACTTATTTAAACATATTTATACAGGCCCCGCAAAACAACATTTATAAGAAATCTACATCTGTTTTGGTCCTTCAGTTCGTCAACTTATTGCCAAATATTGTTGAAATCATTCAAGTTGTTTGTATGGACCGTACACAGCCTACATCCCATATACATTTTGTTTAAATAAAAGCTAAAATTTAGGCTATATAAAAACCCCGCTCCTTAACTAATACATGTGATAAAAATATGGATAAATATGGATGAATATATCTCCATGTTACAATATATCATGCCTAATTAATACAAAAAAAGCAATTTAGAAGAAAGTTTCCAGCAAAGAAGCACCAACAATGCTCGACACATTTGGACAGTTTTATGTAGAC